CAGTGGACGTGTGCATGCTCTGCTTCACTTTCATGCATTTCTCTTTGGGAACCTGTTAGGTAAAAATAACACGGAACAAGTGCCGGTGCATGAACTCCACAACCCCCTCCTAATGGCTACATTAAACATATACAGATAAATAGATAGTTGTTATGTATTCAGCTGTGTGTGTTGCTTAAAATCACACAGTTGTGCTACATTTATCATGGCTGGAAGTTCCTCATTTTCTGCTGCTGCAAACATTAATCAGCTTGTTATGGCGTGTCAGGTTGCATCTGTGTGGTAGACAGATGCCAGTGAAGTCTGTTTATTCTGTAGTGCTCTGAGAGTGACACATATCACACCGTGTTTGCTTTTTTCACCCTAAAATCTGAGCCAAGCAAGTTTTACAGTCTGCTTCTATGCAACCACGCACAAAATGTTTATCACCTTTGTAAATCTGAACTGCTGCAGATTTGTTTAATGTGGAAAAATTCAGAACAGCTACAGTAAAAATCTTAGGTCTTTTTAAAGAGTAAGAGCAGGCAGTCAAATAGTTTCACGTCATATCAACTATTGGAGCCTTACTGATATATCGGCAGCATTAATATATCAGTATCAACACATATAGCGTAAAAAAGCAAATAATAGAAGGAAGAACCACCATGTAATCATGTTATGTGTTGATGTTGATGATGTAGTTTGTCCACCAGAGGACACTTAGATTACACTTAAAATTACACGAGTAATCCACGACTTGTTGTAACACAACAGTTACATTATTTTTAACCCGCATTGTCGTATTATATTAGCAAGGATTAGTCAGATTTTTTAAATTGCCAAATATTGGCTTTGGTCTTGAAAATCCTGTATTGGTCCCGCTCCATGATCGATATCAGATTTAGAGACTACTATAGAATAAAAGGCAAAAGTTTAGGTTGGACAGTTTTACGTATTTTTTAATCCACTCTCACATCTACAAACATTTGTGTAAATTGAAGCCTTCTTTTAATTCTGGCTGGATGTCTCAAAGATGTTGCACTGAATAAATACATCCTATAATCGCAGAAAATGCTAGAAAGCTCATCACAGACTGTCTTTTTATTGGTAATGTTCTCTGGCTAACCTCAAAACCAAAATAATTTTTTATCAGTGTTTCCCAGTGTACTGTGTGACCAATAAATTAATGGCCGATATGTGCAGCTGCCTCTTCAGTAAGATTCTTGTCTTGTAGATGAGCTCTAACTCCACTTTCATGGACAGCAGGTAAGTGCAGTAGTCGTTGCTCTGTTCTGCAGCCTCACTGAGCTCAACATAGCAGCTTGTTAACAACCTCTCCACCTCAAATCAAATCAAATCACTTTTATTGTCACATCACATGTGCAGGTACACTGGTACAGTACATACGAGTGAAATTCTTGTGTGCGAGCTTCACAAGCAACAGAGTTGTGCAAAAAAAAAAAAAGTAAAAGTAAAATTAAACACAGAAAACAGCTGTTGCTTGGGGGAGCTCGTGACGAGGCTGCCATACTCGGCGCCATCTTATCCTTAACCATCCATCCAGCCACCTGTCACAGGTTCTTTTTACACCTAATTTATACTAAGGTGTAGTCTACACAAGTAGCAGCCACCGTTGCCAGCATTTATACCTGCACATCATCATGTGCAGTTACATTTTTAGGTAGCTTTAAGTCAGATTACGGCATATGTTATGGTACAGGGTTTCAGAAAGGTATGCGGTCTAAGTTTAAGTATTTAAGTATAAATCCCCTGTTAGAGTAGCCTTCCAGTTCACAGAGTGTCTTAAGAGCTGAGCAAGAACTGTCATCACCACAGTAGTTCGAGAAGAGTCTACAACAGAAGAAGAGCCTCTCTAGAGGGGCAGCTGAATGATATCGAGGGCTGCCACAACAGCGACCTGGTACATCTGCTGATAGGAAAATAGAAGATGGGCTGGGGCTAGTTGGTTAGAAGTATCCATCCATCCATCCATCATCCATCCATCCATCATCCATCCATCTTCTTCTGCTTATCCTAATTCCATTTGTCAGCTGAGCAGTATCTTCCAAGCCTCCTTGAGTGGCCAATTATACTTTTCCCACAGTTAATACACCTGGGCAGCGCTCCCAAATAAAGTCTATGAGTAGGAAACACTGTCATCTATTTCATGGTGACACCAAACATTGAAAAGCTGCAAATCATTAAATCTGAAAAGCCGTAATCAGAGAGTGTTTGACAGCTTTGCTAAATGATTTATGTAGCTGAAAAGCTTTGTTGACTTTTCTTTTTCATCAGTAAATTCATCACTCATTAACAGTCCAAGTCAATAACACTATCTAATTACCAAGTAAGGTTTTATCAGTGGTTAATCACAGCAGAATTTCCTTTCCAGCTGGGTTACTTTGACACAATTGCTCCGTGAGAAATTATTTATGGAACTCAAGTCTCACTTTTATACCATAGATACAAATAGAGATGTTAGGTATCTTCATCCCTGCGAGATTGCGAGACAAAGAAGAAAGTGTAAAAGAGAGAGAAGGGAGAGAAGAGAGGAGGAGAGATAAAGAACAAAAAAGGGAGATGAAAGGATGGGAGCAAAGAGAGAGGAGGGAAAGAAGGAGATGAAAGCAGCAGGCACAGCAGCGTCATTAAAATAATCATGTATAATTGAAGGAACAGTTCCACGGCAGACTTACTGCTGGGAATCAAGGCTCACTCTCAAAGAGAGCGGAGGGTTGAAATCCACCTTCCTCTCACTGATTTTGCTGCCAGCTTAAAAACATAAAATAACCAATGACAAAATTTCAGCTTAGCACCAATAAAAACATTCAGGCGGGATTGTTGTAAAGTGGAAAAACACAAATGAGCAGATGGTATGTCACTCTTTTAGAATACAGGTGTAAAGGATACCAGGCAGTGGTTAAAGGGAAGAGAAATCAATTCTTTTAATTTCATTTAATTTCAGATTAATTCAGATTCAAGGCTTTTTGTTTTATTTTGCAATTCCTCGGCTGCAAGTGTGGGCCCACTCCTTCGCTCTATGGCGAGTCAACCATTTTCTAGTGCAGCTCAAAGTCTCAGCTGCAAATTGCATTTATATGGGCTCAAATTGTGGTCATAAATATTTTGTACCTGTAAATCAGTTTTGTATGTGTAAAAAAGATTTGTGTGTGGACTTAGCCAAAAAATACGTGTGAAACTCTGCACTCAACTTTCAAGCTTCAAGTACGAATTTTGACCCTATTTTTCTTCCTTTCATCTGATTGGCCAATGTCATGTCAATCACAAATTTAACTATCCAATCAGAGAACAGATGGGTTTGGCTATTGGAGGGGTGCTTTATGGAGCTTCAGGTCCTTGAAGGGAATAAATATCCTTTTACATGCCAGCCCAGCGTTTTCCTTCATCACCAGGAAGGAAAACAGTCTGCGGTGCCTCAGTTTGGTGATTTTTGTGTCACAGGTTTATGTGCTTAATACAGGGACCTCCAGAGCCTTTTCAACAGCGCTGCGGACCTCGAGGGGGGGCCAGTGTTGTGGAAATGACAATCTTCACCAGTACAATCAGACCACTACATTTGGCAACAAGTGTGCTTGTAGCTTAAAACGCTCACCGGTACTGAAAATACAATGAGATGAAAAACGTACAATTATCCTATTTTACCTCAGACACGCAGCTAGATGTTGCTCCGGGTCAGTTGGCTCACTGAAATGATTTCTCTGCCTCCCACGTGGTCCCATGTCAACTTATTTTTTCTTCACGGTGCATTTTTGAGGATGCAACACATTCAGTGTACATACTTTAGACGGCAAGTTTGAAAAATCAAAATAATGCTGCTTTTAAAGGCACTAGGAGATCAAGTGTAATATAGAATATTAAACAGCTGTTATATTGAGTTGCTGTGATACAGTATGTATCACAGCAGTGGTTTTAGTATTTCTTGCTGAGTACAGGGAAGTTTAATAAAGTTGCAAATACCCTGCAGTGATGATTACTCAATTGTTGATCCCAGTGGTCTTTAAAACGTCAGCAGTGTTGCCCATAAAGGATAAATATCCCCCACCACTATACCTTTATGCCCACTTCTTGCTGTAGATTTGTATGTAACCTTTTCCTCTCACCTGTAAATGGAGTAAAAGGTGGACCCGTTCGTCTCGATGCCAGCGGGGCTGTAATTCAGCTGACCGTGACTGAATATTAGCTGCTCTCCCTGCAGGCTTCAATTTGCTGAAGCTTAAGCTTTTTTCTTTTTTTTGCATATCATTTACCTCCAGCACTTGTAAAACCTACTTATATTCCTGGTAGAGAGAGAGCAAGCATGACTGACGAGATGTTATTCACTTAGGCTTGTGCAATGTGCAGCAACCAGTAGAAGGCTTTCCTGTGACCACAGGAACGTCTGTGCTTACTGTGAAATGTTCACTTATCTCCTTTGCACCAAATTTATTATCGAACACCCGACCCCTCGCCCCCCCACCTCCCTTTGTGGGACTTTTGTTGTGTTTTGTGTGTAGCGTAGTCCTGGCTCAGTGTGTGACTGTCTTTAATCAGAACACGAAACATAATTCTCTCCTTTCCTGATGCTGTTGGTATTGATTTTGTTGCACTCTCGATGCAGAGCTGAGCTTAGTCTTCACTTCTATTGATCTGATATTGAAACAGTTAATAAGAGCTTTCTTTCCTGTCTTCTGGCTCAAGAGTTGGGAGTTCGCCTTGTAATCGGAAGGTTGCCGGTTCGAGCCCCGGCTTGGACAGTATCGGTCGTTGTGTCCTTGGGCAAGACACTTCACCCGTTGCCTACTGGTGGTGGTCAGAGGGCCCGGTGGCACCAGTGTCCGGCAGCCTCGCCTCTGTCAGTGCGCCCCAGGGTGGCTGTGGCTACAATGTAACTTGCCATCACCAGTGGGTGGATGACTGGATGTGTAAAGCGCTTTGGGGTCCTTAGGGACCAGTAAAGCGCTATACAAATACAGGCCATTTACCAATTTCTTTCTGTGATCTAATTCTGCTCATTTCTCCAGGTAATTTATGCTCTCAACACCAAGAACGATGAGCACGAAGAAGAAATCGAGTCCCTGAAAGAAGCTCACGAGGACGAGGTACAGACACCGAACACCCTGTTATTATGTGGTGGAAAATACTCTGTGATTGATAAACAGCCGTGTGGTTTGTCACTTTTGTGGTGTGAAACTGCTGTGGGAATGAAAGTGTGTTTAAATGGTGTTATTTCATTTACATTATAAAAGTGTGGTGAAGCAGAATTCTCCTTAGTGAGGTTTCCCCATCATCTGTTTGGTATTTTATTCACTGTGGAGAGGAGCAAATTCAGTGGCAAACTGCAGTTTTGTTATCAAGGCTAACCATGGTTTTGCTGTCTGCCGCCCTCCTGCAGCGAGCAGGTCAGCACTGCAGAAAGGGTTTAATTTGACTGAGGGGTGATTAGGAAAGTTAAACTAAAGATGAACGTAAATCTTAAGAGCATCTGTTACCCACAGCTGTTTCCAGATGCAAAGTTCTGACTTCTCAGCTGATTAATTCGCTTAACAGCTAAATCACCATGGCAGGTACAGATGTTTCCAGTGGTTTGTGGTATAGCTTCCTAAGGGCTGATGATCCTCACTGTTAAACACTTGACTCCAAAAATCTCCCAGAGGTATTCATCTGGGTCAAATCTGTGAAGAAGTCATATTTTACACTCCCTGTTCCCTGATGTCTATAGAAACATCCACATTTATTGGGTTTCTTCGTAATGTGTTCAGCCGTAATGTGCCACAGGTATTGTGAAATTACGTGATTAATCACATCACCAGTACTTTTTTTTCCCAACCTCACATACAAGAACATAACAGAAGCACAGCACAGCAGAGTTCCCCCAGATTGTCCACTTAATTCAAAGGGTTCAGCTGATTCAGTGTAAGCGGTGTGGATGTTTACCACCAGCTGCCTTATGTTCTAAATGTTACGATTTTCTGAACTGGTTTCAAAGACACAGAACAAGTCTGGCACCAAATCAAAACCCATTATATTCAGTGGTGGGCGGGGTTTATTTGAGGACGTGAACTTGGCCTTTACAAAAGTGGTTTAAACCTACTTAATTTCACTGGTATTTCTTTTAGAGGGAAGCTCTTGCGCACTGTAGTCAGCAAGATTGTTAATTAAATGAGTGTTTCTTTCAAGTGTTAAATTTTTAAAGTGAGAGTTTTCTCCCCCTGCCAACATTTCTTGGAGTCCACGGTGTTGTGCTGGCACCTTTTTCTTATTTATTTTCACATATTTCTCCTCAGGTCTTATTTCCTGCTACTCTGTTTGTAAATTTATGATATTTTTCCACTTTGTAAAAGAACAAAACAGTTTTAATCTTGCTCATAATCATCTTAATCGTAATTGCCTAAACCTGAGCTGAACTTTGTTTTAAATTCTGTTTTAAATTTAAGTTCTGTTCTGTTTTAAAGCACTGGCTGCTTTCTTTCCTCTTGCTCAGGTCCAACACATTGTGACAGAAACCAGAGACAAGATCATGCAGTACAAGACTAAAATGGCGGACGAGGTGGATCTGAGGCGGCGGCTTGCCAGTCTGGAGGAATCTGTAGAGCTCCACGAACACATGAAGAGACAGGTCATTCAGCGCTGCCGGGCACCACGTGGCTTCATTTAGTTTGGCTGTATCGAGCCAGGCTTTGCTTAGTTTGTGTATTGCTTCACATATTCCTACGTTGTCATCTTTAAGTATGTTTTAATGTTGTAGCTTTTTAATATGGATTATTTAGGTGTAAAAAACTGGATAGTATCAACTTAACATATAATACAGGAGTGGGTGTGTTATATTGCAGTTGTATGTTTCCATATTTGTCTTTATGTAACACTGTTGTGCTTGTTGTCTTCAGGCTCTAGCAGAGTTCGAGATGTACAGACAGAGGATGGAGGACTCGCAGCTGTGCACAGAGGCCCAGCACACGCAGAGGGTGGTTTCTATGAGCAGAGAGGTAAGGTTGGGCTCATAACAAAAGTAATACCTGATTGTTAACTTTCATGCATGAACCCAATTATGAAAGGTGTTGGGATGCTGTGTAAAATGTAAATGTAATCACACATACACATGCAGAACATGCAAAACTTATCAGAGGTTTAAAGTGAGAAGATGCTGACTGTATGTGATTCTTGTTGTCATTTCTTTTGCTTCATGATACTCCAAACGTTTCACTTGGTGAAACGTCTGCACATGCAAGGTCTTACCTGAAAAAGATGGGAGCATATGTTGCTCTAAATCTGTATATAACTTTCAGCATTGCTGGTGCCCTTCCAGATGTGCAAACTGCCAGTCCCCGAGGCACTTATCCACTTACACCTTAAGACATAAGAGAGTTTTGGCCTGAGTGCAAATAGTTCATTTCTCCTTGAGGATAAAGAATCCACTTTTTCAGATGTGAATTCTTCTGACCACAGACCAGTTTTTCAACTCGCCTCAGTCCACTTTAGACCGTTTGCTCAGAGGATCAGCGCCCAGGGGACGATAGCGCTCCAGGATCATGTTAACATATGGCTTCTTCTTTGCATATAGAGCTTTAACCGGGTGGCACAGTGAACAGTGGGAGTGTTCCTGAGTCCATGCAGTGATTTCCATGACAGAATCACGTCTGCTTTTAATGCATGCTGCCCGAGGGCCTGATGATCACGGGCATCCAGTATTGATTTTTGGACATTGGAATCTTGTGATGATGTCATGTACTGGATATAAAAATCCTTTTGCAGTTTCTCTTCTGTTTTCTATTTTGAATAAAAGATGAGTTTATTATATTTGCAAATCTTTTCCTTGTGTGTTTAATTACATATCACACAGCATCCCAATGTTTTTGTATTCGGGCTGTAATTGTAAAAATGTAAAGTGTGTTATGCTCTAAATGCACAACAGGAATGGTTTATTTGTGCTGAATGCAGGTTAATCAAACAAGACTGATACAAGCATTAGTGAGTAATACTACTTCACACCACAGACTTTATACCTTAATAGGTTATAACTGGCACATATGATAAAATTGATCAAATATGTTATATTATTGTTTAATTTATAAACTGAAAGACAATTTAAATTGACATCAATTAGATGTTGATGCAGGTAAAGGACGCTCGCTGTCATCAGGCTGTAACGACGGCATCAAAATAATTTAAAAATCTATAATAATGAAGCCCACCGAATTAATTCTGAAGGTGTGTGCTTCAGTCACGTCTTGATTGAAAATAGATTTTTTTTTTTATATCATTGTCCAAATACTTATGGCCCTAATTTAATATGCACTGTGTAATGCTACAGCCACATTTGGGTAAACAGCGGGTGGAGACTGTGGTGTGACCTGAAAAAGATGTATTGGAAAAAATAATTATAACTTTTAAAACTGGGAGCCCGTTTGTGACCACTTGCAGTTAGCTGCCATCTTTAAAGCAACTTCAGTGCATGAAGACAGTGATAAAAGTCTGCAGTCAGTTTGCAATTAAATGGAGTCAAGTTGGCAATTATGTGTAATCTGTTTGTGACTGACTGAGACAAATCTGTTGGCATCTGTTTTAAATATTTTGCTGTCCAAACACACAGAAGTTCACATTAACTCCTTACATCCACAGTTCAGCCAGAATCTCACAGATCTGAAGCAGAAATTTCTCCACATATAGTGACATCGTAGCTGACGGACATGGCACCCAGCTGAGTTTAGTCCCCGACTGCAGAGAGACGAGTTGCAGACAGGTTGCAGTCATCAGCATAGAAAGACATGTTGGCTGTCCTTATTTTTAAATTAGACAGCAATTATTTGCAAACCTTCATCATCTGAGAGTGATTGCAGTCAGTCTGAGTCAGACCGTGATTGTTTGGAGACAGGTTGCCTCCCACCAGGTAATCTGTGCAGACAGCGTGGAACACCCACAACCTCTGTGTCATTTAGCGCTACCAGTTTCACTATTTTAATTTAACATGTGGTACTAGCAGTCAGAAATGATGAGTTGGAGGGGATAGGTATGAACTCCTCTCTTAGATCAGAAAAATCAGATGCATGTCACGCATTCTAGGAGACTGGATCTGCCTGTCGGTGTCTCTCTAGTGGTACAGTGTAGAAATAAAAAAAATAGAAAGTGTTCGATTGAACAAAGAAAATACTGACAGTGTACATTACATACATAAGGCTATCTTTTACTGATAAAATATTATGTCTTACATACAGACAGATACACACACACACAGTTATGCTTGTAGAGTAGCAGCAACATGTTTTTAGTAATGCAGCATATGACACTAAAACAAGGGTGACACACCAGTCACATGGGCAGGAGCATCTGCCAGTGACACATGAGTGGTAAGCTGTTTACGAGCTGCACACAGCAGGGGGGATGTCATAATCGTTACTGGCATATGCTGATAATGAATACGAATTTTAGTGCCACAAACGCGCTCTTCACTGCTGCACTCTTCTTTTGTACGCACCTCGCTCCCAAAATTAAAATTACACTCAGAATGAAGTGCTACTTGGCACGTTTGATTAGGAGAAGGCGGTAGATTGCTTCTTTATACAGTAAGTGTTCACTTCATTATAAGGAAGTATGATTTCTAATTGTTATAGTCTGCTGTTACTTCAGTATTGCGCAGATTATGTTGTGCTACAATAAGATAGATAGAAGATAGAATAATCCTTTAATTGTCCCATAAGGGGAAATTTGGTTGTAACAGCAGCCAGAAAGACACATATACAACAAACAGTACACAGAACAGAAACATACACAATTTTTCTTACATATTTACATTAAGGACAATGGTTACTATAAACAGAGTACTGTACAGTTATTCAATTAAATAAAATAGCTATAATATTAAAAAAAATAGATAATCTAATATTGTTACATGTATCATGTCATCTGTCATGTCATACGATCATGTGACACAGTTTCATATGCACTTGTCTGATGAATGTGGGCACAAAGGAACATCTCAGCCCTACTTAGATGTAAAGAGCTGGTGGGTAAATAAACTCAGCTCTTTATCTCTTACATTTGGATTGTTGTGTGTTATCTTTGGACTTTAAATGCTTTCACAGTGTCTGCTTCCAGCTTGAACAAAAAGATCTTTACCAGCACTAACAGTTCGCATTACATGACATATGACATCACATCACACGCTACATGTTTCTACATTTTCTTTTGAACTGTTTCAGATCTTGCGCTGCAAAGAACACTTTGCTCTGCTTAGAGGTGTACATAGAGAAGATTCAAGCTTTTATTTTGGTAATAACAAACAAGTGCTGAAAGGCTTAAGATGCTAGAACTGAATGTTTTGTGCCTCCCTGATTGTCACGAGAGGATTTTGAGGCGATGCTGCGATCAGTTAGCGTGACACCATTAGCGACTGGGCTAGCAGTAACACAAAAACAGAATAGAACATATTCCGTGGTTTCAATAGGTGGAGGAGATGCGTCGGGATTTTGAGGAGAAGCTGCGCTCGTTCAGCCAGGCTCAGGCACAGTTTGAGGCTGAGAAGCGGCGAGCGCTGGAGGAGCTGAGGACCACCCACCGCCAGGAGGTGGAGGAGCTCCTCAACAACCAGCGGAACCAAAGCGCCTCCTCCACAGAAGACCAGGAGAAGCTGGCTGAGCTTCATAGACAAGAGGTGGGCGGAGCTCGATTGAGCGAGGGAGATAGATGAGGTTTGGATCGGAGTGATGCATGTTGGGATTTTTGCAGAAAGTTGATAAAGCAAGTTTCTTTCGAGGGTAACTGCTGTTTTTTAAGGCTTATCAATGAAATGAAAGGATGTAGTGTTGTAGTGCAGTTAGCTTATGAGCACAATATAAACCCGGAGTGATAATAATTTGGCTATAGAGATTTGTTGCATGTCATTCTCTTATTTTTCTCCCATTTTTCTTTTCTCTCAACAATAAAAAGACTTAAAACTAACTTAAGACTAAACATAATGTGGTTTAGGGGCTTGATCTATTCAAGACTTGTTGTTTTTAAAAAAGGATTTTGGAATGCGTCTTGACAAGCTCTCTGTTTATCCATCTCTTGGCGTAGGTGGAGGCATTGATGGAGAGGGTGGAGGAGCTAACAAAGGATAAGGTCCGCCTGGTGGAGGAGTATGAGGCCAAGCTGGCCAAGGCTCAGGAGTATTATGAGAGAGAGCTGGAGGCCATGAGGAGAACACACCAGCTCACCACTGAGAACCTGCTGGCCTGGAAGAGGACGGAGGTAAAAGCTTATTCCTCTCCTTTTTATGACAGAAGAAGAAGAAAAGCAGAAACCACATTTTAAGTACTAAACTCGGGCATTTAATTTGTTTTCATTTGTTAGGAGTACTGTACCGCTTTATTAAACAGAGTCCGAAACATGGTGTTCTGTATCAGGCCTGTAGCTGTTTATGTTCCTGAGAGAGACACAGTGCTCTCTTTATTAACAGGTGTTGTGTGTCTTAAGACAATTATTCCGTTGCAGTACAGCTACAGGCAATAAAATGTGTTGAAACAAACAGGCTTGTATAAAATTCTTGAAAAAAGTCAAGAAATTGGTCTAGAATAAAGCCGTCAAATAGTGCCGAGGGCTTTATTTCTCTCAACTTTAGTAGGTAGAAGCCCTTTATTGAAACAGTTTTATATTAGATGTGAGACCTTTTCTAATTCCCTCTGTTTGTTAAGTATAATATGTTGCATTAGTACAGTTTCCGCTGCAGGAACAGCTTCATTTTTGGGTCTGTTAATACAAAATCAGCACCTCCTGAATGCATTTCTCGTCATTGCTTAATATGATTTTAATTGTAAATACCATATGTAAGAACAGGCAGATGGTGTTAAAGTTAATAAATCAAACGTAAGAGCAGCTGTTGAAAACAGCAGGGTGATATTGTTGTCTTGTACTTTTGTGATTAGCTCACACGCACACTTACACGACCGACGCCATGATGGTGTTTTTGTTTAGATTTTTTTCTTGCTCATTATTTGGGACATATTCGCTGCTATTTTTCTCAAGCTGCCTAGAGCAGTCTCTCCCAACTTTTGGAGCCAGCACGTATATATTTTTATATTTCACATTAGAAAAATCACACGGCACACCACCAAACTAAAATGCTGTTTTCCCCGCGCACCGGGTATAGAAATCGGCTCGGTTTGTCCTCAGTGTACCTTTTTTGCTTTCTTGTGACCACTACTCAGGCTACGGCCTTCATCTGGGTTGAAATGTCTCCGGGACCCAGGTCAGATTGACTACTTTTTCTTGTCAAATATTTATCTATTTCTAATACACGCTGCGTTGTCTCACTCACAGCATGGCTATATAATTTCTTCTTCATCTTCTGTTTTACTGGACGTTGGCAACCCATTTAATTGGAGCAAAACGTTGTACTGCACTCTAGTGGAAGAGAATGTAATTGTTCTGCCTGTTTCCCATGTCGGTACCGGTCCGTGGCCCAGGGGTTGGGGACCGCTGGCTTAGAGTACTAATCAGGTGAAACCAGATAATTTTCCACAGCACACCTGATCATTTCTCACTATGACACCTCGGCACAGTTGTTGGGAAACACTGACCTAGAGAAAATGACCTCTGAATAACTTTTGTTAATTTAGGGAAGCACAGTATGCCTTTGTGAACACACACAAACTCACCATTAAAGGATTACCTAACATTAAGAATCTAAAAGCAGCATTAGTTGGTTGGTTTACTCACTTCAAACACAATGCTGACAGTTTACATACATTTTTCATGGGAATGTGTTTTTGAATGTGTTATTGTTAGCAAACAGTTCCCCGTTTTTGCCTTTAGTAGATCTACGTTCATTAGAAGTCATGTTTCTGTTTGATTACCAAACACGTTTAAGCTTACATGACTCCAGTGTGTTGATATGAGTATGTCTTTGCGAGCTTACTTGCCAACTTTGTGTTTGCTGTTGGGCAGGTGGGTTGGGTTTATTCATGGTTTATTGCTCCCTGCTGCTGCTTGAAACAAGGTTAATTAAAGCCCTGAAAGCCAAAACTGTATTTGAAAAGAAGCCTAAGGTAATTACTCACACCTTTTACGTTACATACAGGCGTTTGATCTACTGTTTATATTAAAATATGGATTAATTAGTCCAGCTTTTATTGCGTCTTTGTCAGTGGTGGACTTGCGTGTTATTGATACATGAGTAGCAGTTTTTGAGACACCGCCTTAAAGAAAGCCTCATTTATCTCAATGCACCTCTCAAGGTTGCTTGTGTCGTCTCCTTTTAACTCACACAGGCAGGTGTTGCTGGCTATAAGCGTTGTGTTCTTGTGTCAGAGTGACTAATTTAATTCTGTGTCCTCGTGAAGGTCGAGCTTCGTAAGGAGTTCCAGGCGCAGGAAGTGGCATTGCAGCGTTCACTGTCCAAGCTGAGGAGTGAGCTTCAGAAAGCTCAGGAGGAGGCCAGAGAGAACCGCGACAAGACCAACAGACTGCAGACGTCACTGGCCAACGCAGAGGGAACCATCAAGGTGTGTGGGGTACGAGTGGCTGAACACCATGTTTTATTGTCAAATCAAATGAATAAGACAAAACAATGAAAACCCTCTGGTCCAGATTCCCTTGATGTTTTTGTAATGACAGAAAAATAATGTAGCAGTATGTACTAATGCCGCTACTGCTGGTTTTATCCTTCATCTATTTGCAGGATTTCCCAAAATAGTACAAATAATATAAAGAGTTTTTCTTTGCTTCAGTTTTAAGTACAAAGTGGGATAAATTGAATGGAAAATGTTTTCTGGAAACAGAAAGCCTCGGGGTGGAGAGTGTTTTTAAGAATCTTAAGGTGGTGGGAAATGTAGTGTGCACTGATGGTCCTGCAGGCAGATCTGTTTGGAAGTAGCTGGAGAGTCTGAGCTGAGGTTTTAAAATGCCAAACGTTGTATTGTTGTAACATAGCTGAGCGTGCGTGTGTGTGTTTCTGTGCGTGCTGCAGAACCTTCACAAGCAGCTGGAAGAGGCAATCCAGGACGGAGAGATCTGGGTGATGCAGCTAAAGGACACCGAGTATGAACTAGAGAGCAGCAGGGAACGAGTTCAGCAGCAGGCTACTGAAATCCTGCACAAAGCCAGTAAGATTTGACTGCTGGCGTTCACCACTGTGCAGTGCTGTGTGCAGATGTTTCACACATCCATTAAAGAGGAAGTCTGCTATTTGTCATCCTTATTCTCACGATTGTGTTTCATGTTCCCCAATTTGCAAAAGAAATCCTCACACACTGCTGCAAACGAAAGCGATGTTTCACAACGTGTTTTATAATTGATCGTCGCTTGCAAATTTCAGCTAAATTTGCGAGTCCAGCAGAGCTCCTCATGCTTAATTAACCGATGTTGTAAATCTCGGCTTGTATGTTTAAAATTTGATGAGGTATTTCCATTTATTCTAATTGGTCCATTCGTGGCTACGTGTGGCTTTTAGCCTTTTCGTAGACCTCTGTAACCTGTGCAATAAAGTTTGCTAATGACATGATTTAAATTCAGCAGTCAAAACGTGTCTGCGTAGAAACAAATGCATTATAATTTGTTGCAATTTTATCAAAACCGTTGGAGTAAAACAACATTCAAAATCCTCAGACACACTGAAAAACTGCTGTTAACTGGACTCAAATTCATCTAAAGATTTTTCTTTTAGTTTGAACAACATTCATAGCCGTTCAGCTGTAGAATTACGAGTTTACATGGTGCACCTGAATGCACCACGAATAGTATATGTTGACTGATTTACAAAGCGGTTTAGACACCCAATTGATTAAAGTGTAGTTGGCAATATGACTGCAGGGAGTTTGTGTGCAGCTTTAGCAGTCACGGTCGACGCCTGTTTGTGAGAATATCACGCAGAGAGTGCGACAGCGGGGTGCCGGGCTCCAAAAATAGAACAAACCATTTCGTGGAGGGCAAAGTTTTATTTTGTCCAGCTGCCACAAACAAATGGTTGAAACACAGATTTTTGCACCTTGAAGAAATGTATGTGCATGGATAATTTTTTTCCCTCCAGCATCGGTGCAGCGGAGCATTTTTGTATTATGAAGGGAAAAACAGCTCATGACTCGTAAGGTCCAGGTTGGTTAGTGATACAGGGCTCAAGCCAAGGGGTGTCTGCGTGTCAGGGTGCCTGTGCTCACGCCTTATACTGTGTGATCTCTACAGAAGCGTCTATAGAAACTTTAAAGCTCTCCTCTGATTACTAGATTGAAATTGAGCTTTTATGTCATAAATAGTCTGAATAAACTCATCCCACATCTTTTCCTTTGACTGCTTTTCTTTTTAGAACATCTGCTTTCCCTCTGGCTGCTCAGCTAACCACACTGTTGCACCACACTGTTTTTCTTGTTTGTTATTTAAAGTTTTTCCCACCAAGTTTTACAAGCAGCTGATATTTTAAATTAGCAGACTGCCGACTTCCTGTTTAATAACTCTGCTGCAGAGGCCACTTCTTCGTTCAAACAGCAATAACAATAACAAACATCTAGTTTAAACGTTAGCTCAGATTCCTGATTGTAGAGCCTCTTTAACACACACACATGATTTCAATTTGACTGCTTTCAGGTCAGATCGGCTCCTTGCAGGCAACCCAGATGGCCCACGAGGCGACCATCAGGAACTTGGACCAGGAGCAGAGCCGCCTCAAGGAGAAGATCAGCAGGCTGGAGGAGGAGAGGGAGGTTCTGCTCAGCCAGAGCCAGACCGCCAACGACCAGCACAAACAACAAGTGCTCAAACTGGAACAGGTACTTTTTTTTATCCTTTCTTTGTCTGTCACAAAAAGCCTTTTTACTTCCTCTAATCTGCCTCTCGTCCTCAGTCTCTGCGCGAGGAACACCAGGGCTATGAGAAGGAGCTCTCCAGGTTGAGAGCGCACTATGAGGAGGAGACACTTCGCTTCAAGGAGGCACAGGTCAGAGCATTGGAGGAGCTCGAGGAGAAACACCAGGTGATGAGAGAGGAAGCCCAGCAAGAGAAAGAGGAGGAGAAGAAACTCCTCATCACGGTGAGTCCAGTGTGAAGGTTCGGTGTTGATGTTGAATCTGACGAATGGAAACTTTTTGGTCCAAAAAACTGTCCTAAAATCCTTCACAAGGTTTTCTTAATTATTTTCAAGGATATCAAACACTAAATATGATACAAAAAAGTAAAATATGAGGAGCAAAGTCATCATTTCAACACAGACAGTGTGACAGACAGATGGTATTGTTGCACATGTAAGATGCACACGAGCACAGTCGCAGAAACGTAGCCATGACACAGTAGGTCTCTTTGTACTTCATGATCTTAATGGGTTTTTATTAATTGCCTTTGTTTGTGGTGTCCTCATTTGGTCATAACATGTTTGGTCAAAGTCTTCACATATTTTTAAAAGCTGAAAACGACATTTCCAACATCCTGATTTTCTCTGCCTCTGGATATAACAAATTAGGTTCGAGGAACATTTCACCATCAAATTCTGAGTTCGCTGCTACTAATAAATTTAAACACTTTGGTAATAATAATGTTGAGAAGAGCCTCTGCAAATGTTAAATGAAAGACATTAATTCTCTGTAGCTCTGAGCTGAACATTACCCGCACCATCATTTTGAAAAGTCGTAAGAGTTGAGGAGGGTATGTGGATGTTTGAGGCGGGAGTACCTCAGCGGTCCTCGGGGCATAGAAAAAATACAGAGTAACACAGAACCTTAAACCATCTGTCACAGAAGTGGACGACTTTTCTCATCCACAACCCGCTGAGTCAGACATCGCTGTGGTGGAGGACCGTGATTGGTCCTGAGCTGTGTCATCAGTTAGCTAAGCCTATAAACTGTAACCCATTGGTTAGCAGCGTCCCGTTGAGACGCCTCGAGCCGTTTCGTCTTGGTGTTTTGAAACCGTTAGTGGAGGTCGGATCCATCACACCCCGATGGTGGGCATACCCAGCTTTATGGTCCTTTCCTCTCCAATGAAGACGGTTAATTACAAAATAAAAATCTTAAATTGAACTCTGCCACACTTTAAACTAGTGACTGAGACTATAAAGTCACCAGGAAGGGTTTGGGTTTTTTTTTTCTGCAGCCTTCTTGTTACTATCAGAAGTCTTCACCTGGATGAGATGCAAGAAGGAACAGTGGTTTAAGGCACTTCACATTAGCTTTACAATTCAGAAGTTATGTCCATCATTTATAGAGTGAATGCTCCAGCTCCAGTAACGGCGGAAGCCATGGCTCACTCATTCTTGTCTCCCTCTCGCTATTGAGGGAGTATCCTGCCATCTGCAGTCTGATAAGTCAGAGCTACACGAGGGTCTGGAGAGTGTCATGCGGCGGTGCGTCTATTCCCCTTCAAATCACTGAATAAAATGGCTTTTCAACCAAATTGAAAAGCCTTAAGTAGAGGGTTTTTTTTAAAGAAAATTAACACTCGTATGAATGAAGATTATGCTTCATAGACTCCAAGTAAAGGGCACAGGCTGGAGGCGGTGGGTTGGCCATTTCTGATTAGATGGTATTAAAATCTAATGCCATCTAATCATTTCTCTGTCTTTGTGTATTTTTAATCAGTTTTGATCAGACTGACTCTGTTACGTCTTTACTCTGCTGGCTGCATTTCTTTGTGTTGGCACATGACTGAGAATTTACATTTACATACTGCTGTCTTTGGCCAAACCCACTGTCAGTGTCACTGCAAGGAAATCACAAACTCAGCAAGTGTTGGTCACTTGGATTATTTTAAGATATTCAAACTAAAGGAAGATTGTTTGTTTTGACTTTTTGCTGTGTAACCATCTTGATCATCATTCTTTATAAAACGATAAAGCATGAAAGAAGCCATAAAGATGTTTTCGGGGGGGATAAAAACAGTAATTGGAACACAAACAGCCGAAGGTTTCTCTCAGGGTTTATGTCTCTCACTTTTTTCACAGAAGCATTTGCAATTAATTTCCCTCAGAGCAAATGGCTTTAGTCATTAAAAAAATATGTATCTCTAAAAGAAATGCGCAGCCCCCCTCATCATTTAATTAGGTCAACATTAAGACTAAAGACATGAAGCGCTGCATCTCTCTGTGCCTGTGTTTTCTCCTCTGCGTCTTTCAGTCTGTCGCCCGCTCTCTTTCTTTCTTCTTCAGCTTTTCTTTTTTTTCACTCCTGATTTGCTCTCCTCTCTTTGACTTCAAAGGGGAGGGGTTACGTGAGGAGAATACGAACGGCCTTATTGCCAAAGAAGCAACGACAACTGATGAGATTACCCAGGTTAAATTAATTTAACCTGATCCATTTAATATAACAGCAACAACAAGACTGCTGGGCAGACTCATCTCTTTCTCACTTGTCTCACTTATTCTGGATAGCTAAATAAGCAAAAACAGGCCTTTATACAATACAATACAATACAGTTTTATTTATATAGCACATTTAAAAACCCAAAGGCACACCAAAGTGCTTCACAGTAATATGGAGAATCAACATAAGTCAATAACAGGGTACAGATCGGGCACTAGCACAGACAGGATAGAGGCACTAACAGACCAGGAGAGTTAGATAAATACAAAATCCACTAAGAAGACAAAAACAGCAGTAAAATTAATAATAAAATAATAAATTTAATAAAATTTAATAAAAGATTTAAAAGTTTAAAATTTAAAAGATTTAAAAGGGTATTAACTGGTCAGGAAAGCCAAGTCAAATAGATATGCTTTCAATCTTGATTTAAAGGATTGGATAGAGTCCAAGGCTCGAATAGAAGCAGGGAGGCTATTCCAAAGGTTGGGTGCAGCTGAAGCAAAGGCACGATCGCCTCTGGTCTTCAGTCTAAACTTAGGTTGGGCCAGGAGTAATTGACCTGATGATCTTAATGCACGACAAGGAGTGTACAGATTGAGGAGGTCAGTGAGGTAGCTGGGCGCAATGTTATTCAGGATTTTAAAAGTGAGTAGCAAGATTTTAAACTCAATGCGATATTTGATTGGTAACCAGTGTAGATCAACAAGAGCCGGAGTAATAGGGTCAAATTTTCTAGTCCAGTAAGAAGGCGAGCCGCAGCATTCTGAACGAGTTGCAGCCTTCGAAGAGAGAAGGCTTGGAGACCACAGTAGAGAGAATTACAATAATCTAACCTGGAGGTCACAAAAGCGTGGATAAGTTTTTCCAGGTCCCTGTGTGGTATATAATGCTTAGCTTTAGAAATCTGGCGCAGTTGAAAAAAAAACAGATTTAACTACAGATGATACTTGCTTATCGAGCTTAAAGGAGCTATCCAAATAGACACCCAGGTTACGCATAGAATCAGAGAGAGTTAGCTAGGGGCCCCAGCAGGGCAACAAGCTGGTCTCGAAGGATATGGCTGTCGAACACCATAACTTCAGTTTTTTTCTCATTTAAAAGAGAGAATTATCTGACAGCCAATCTTTAACCTCTCTCAGGCAATCGTACAGGGAGTTCAGTGATGCTGACAAATCATCAGTCAGTTGACAATAGATTTGAATGTCATCAGCGTAAAAGTGATAAGAAATATTGTATTTTTCAAATATGGAGCCCAAGGGTAGCATATACAAAGAGAATAATAAAGGGCCCAATACAGACCCCTGGGGCACACCACAACAGAGAGGGGCAACAGAGGAAGAGTATCCTCCCATCACAACAGAGAAGGATCTATCTGTGAGGTAAGAATTAAACCAGTTAAGGGCAGAACCCTTGATGCCTACAACATGCTCTAGCCTCCTCAAGAGTATATTATGATCAACCATGTCAAAGGCTGAAGACAGATCCAATAAAACTAAAACGGCAGCAAAGAGTCAGCAAATACAAGAAGATCATTATAGACTCTTAGCAGGGCCGTATCAGTGCTATGGTGTGGCTTAAAGCCAGACTGGTATTTGTCAGTGATATTATTTACAACTAAGTAAGCCTGTATTTGGAGAAAGACGGCTTTCTCTAAAATTTTTGATAAAAACGGAAGTTTCGAGATTGGCCTATAATTGGCAGGATCTTTCTGATCAAAATTACTTTTTTTAAGAACAGGGTGCACTACCGCATGTTTAAAGGCCGTCGGGACACAGCCCACTACCAATGATAAATTCATTAAAAATAAGATGCAAGGCCCAATTTCCTCAAAACCTTCATTGATAATTCGGGATGGAAGGATATCGTGCACGGAATTTGAGTTTCTCAATTGTTCAATTATTCCCTTAAGAGTGGGGAGTGATAACACCTCAAAGTGAGAAAAGGTGGACATGCATCCTAAAACCGGAACAGGATTCAGCACAAGAGAGTGAGAGTGTGAAGCCTTCAGTAATAAAACTTTTCCACTAAAATGATTAAGAAATTGCTCACAGAGAGCCTGAGAGGCCGAGCTCGAAGAGTCCGGACAGGGATTTATAACCGAATTAAAAATTTTGAATAACATTCGGGGGTTGTGGCTATTAGTCTCAATAATGTCTGATAGGAAAGCTGCTTTAGCTTTTATGACAGAAAGAAGAAGAAAAAAGCAGAAACCACATTTTAAGTACTAAACTGGGCATTTAATTTGTTTCATTTGTTAGGAGTACTGTACCGCTTTATTAAACAGAGTCCGAAACATGGTGTTCTGTATCAGGCCTGTAGCTGTTTATGTTCCTGAGAGAGACACAGTGCTCTCTTTATTAACAGGTGTTGTGTGTCTTAAGACAATTATTCCGTTGCAGTACAGCTACAGGCAATAAAATGTGTTGAAACAAACAGGCTTGTATAAAATTCTTGAAAAAAGTCAAGAAATTGGTCTAGAATAAAGCCGTCAAATAGTGCCGAGGGCTTTATTTCTCTCAACTTTAGTAGGTACAAGCCCTTTATTGAAACAGTTTTATATTAGATGTGAGACCTTTTCTAATTCCCTCTGTTTGTTAAGTATAATATGTTGCATTAGTACAGTTTCCGCTACAGCTTCATTTTTGGGTCTGTTAATACAAAATCAGCACCTCCTGAATGCATTTCTCGTCATTGCTTAATATGATTTTAATTGTAAATACCATATGTAAGAACAGGCAGATGGTGTTAAAGTTAATAAATCAAACGTAAGAGCAGCTGTTGAAAACAGCAGGGTGATATTGTTGTCTTGTACTTTTGTGATTAGCTCACACGCACACTTACACGACCGACGCCATGATGGTGTTTTTGTTTAGATTTTTTTCTTGCTCATTATTTGGGACATATTCGCTGCTATTTTTCTCTAGCTGCCTAGAGCAGTCTCTCCCAACTTTTGGAGCCAGCACGTATATATTTTTATATTTCACATTAGAAAAATCACACGGCACACCACCAAACTAAAATGCGTTTTCCCCGCGCACCGGGTATAGACAATCGGCTCGGTTTGTCCTCAGTGTACCTTTTTTGCTTTCTTGTGACCACTACTCACGCTACGGCCTTCATCTGGGTCGAAATTCTCCAGGGACCCAGGTGATTGACTACTTTTTCTTTTCAAATATTTATCTATTCTATATACGCTGCGTTGTCTCACTCACAGCATGGCTATATAATTTCTTCTTCATCTTCTGTTTTACTGGACGTTGGCAACCCATTTAATTGGAGCAAAACGTTGTACTGCACTCTAGTGGAAGAGAATGTAATTGTTCTGCCTGTTTCCCATGCCGGTACCGGTCCGTGGCCCAGGGGTTGGGACCGCTGGCTTAGAGTACTAATCAGGTGAAACCAGATCATTTTCCACAGCACACCTGATCATTTCTCACTATGACACCTCGGCACAGTTGTTGGGAAACACTGACCTAGAGAAAATGACCTCTGAATAACTTTTGTTAATTTAGGGAAGCACAGTATGCCTTTGTGAACACACACAAACTCACCATTAAAGGATTACCTAACATTAAGAATCTAAAAGCAGCATTAGTTGGTTGGTTTACTCACTTCAAACACAATGCTGACAGTTTACATACATTTTTCATGGGAATGTGTTTTTGAATGTGTTATTGTTAGCAAACAGTTCCCCGTTTTTGCCTTTAGTAGATCTACGTTCATTAGAAGTCATGTTTCTGTTTGATTACCAAACACGTTTAAGCTTACATGACTCCAGTGTGTTGATATGAGTATGTCTTTGCGAGCTTACTTGCCAACTTTGTGTTTGCTGTTGGGCAGGTGGGTTGGGTTTATTCATGGTTTATTGCTCCCTGCTGCTGCTTGAAACAAGGTTAATTAAAGCCCTGAAAGCCAAAACTGTATTTGAAAAGAAGCCTGAGGTAATTACTCACACCTTTTACGTTACATACAGGCGTTTGATCTACTGTTTATATTAAAATATGGATTAATTAGTACAGCTTTTATTGCGTCTTTGTCAGTGGTGGACTTGCGTGTTATTGATACACGAGTAGCAGTTTTTGAGACACCGCCTTAAAGAAAGCCTCATTTATCTCAATGCACCTCTCAAGGTTGCTTGTGTCGTCTCCTTTTAACTCACACAGGCAGGTGTTGCTGGCTATAAGCGTTGTGTTCTTGTGTCAGAGTGACTAATTTAATTCTGTGTCCTCGTGAAGGTCGAGCTTCGTAAGGAGTTCCAGGCGCAGGAAGTGGCATTGCAGCGTTCACTGTCCAAGCTGAGGAGTGAGCTTCAGAAAGCTCAGGAGGAGGCCAGAGAGAACCGCGACAAGACCAACAGACTGCAGACGTCACTGGCCAACGCAGAGGGAACCATCAAGGTGTGTGGGGTACGAGTGGCTGAACACCATGTTTTATTGTCAAATCAAATGAATAAGACAAAACAATGAAAACCCTCTGGTCCAGATTCCCTTGATGTTTTTGTAATGACAGAAAAATAATGTAGCAGTATGTACTAATGCCGCTACTGCTGGTTTTATCCTTCATCTATTTGCAGGATTTCCCAAAATAGTACAAATAATATAAAGAGTTTTTCTTTGCTTCAGTTTTAAGTACAAAGTGGGATAAATTGAATGGAAAATGTTTTCTGGAAACAGAAAGCCTCGGGGTGGAGAGTGTTTTTAAGAATCTTAAGGTGGTGGGAAATGTAGTGTGCACTGATGGTCCTGCAGGCAGATCTGTTTGGAAGTAGCTGGAGAGTCTGAGCTGAGGTTTTAAAATGCCAAACGTTGTATTGTTGTAACATAGCTGAGCGTGCGTGTGTGTGTTTCTGTGCGTGCTGCAGAACCTTCACAAGCAGCTGGAAGAGGCAATCCAGGACGGAGAGATCTGGGTGATGCAGCTAAAGGACACCGAGTATGAACTAGAGAGCAGCAGGGAACGAGTTCAGCAGCAGGCTACTGAAATCCTGCACAAAGCCAGTAAGATTTGACTGCTGGCGTTCACCACTGTGCAGTGCTGTGTGCAGATGTTTCACACATCCATTAAAGAGGAAGTCTGCTATTTGTCATCCTTATTCTCACGATTGTGTTTCATGTTCCCCAATTTGCAAAAGAAATCCTCACACACTGCTGCAAACGAAAGCGATGTTTCACAACGTGTTTTATAATTGATCGTCGCTTGCAAATTTCAGCTAAATTTGCGAGTCCAGCAGAGCTCCTCATGCTTAATTAACCGATGTTGTAAATCTCGGCTTGTATGTTTAAAATTTGATGAGGTATTTCCATTTATTCTAATTGGTCCATTCGTGGCTACGTGTGGCTTTTAGCCTTTTCGTAGACCTCTGTAACCTGTGCAATAAAGTTTGCTAATGACATGATTTAAATTCAGCAGTCAAAACGTGTCTGCGTAGAAACAAATGCATTATAATTTGTTGCAATTTTATCAAAACCGTTGGAGTAAAACAACATTCAAAATCCTCAGACACACTGAAAAACTGCTGTTAACTGGACTCAAATTCATGTAAAGATTTTTCTTTTAGTTTGAACAACATTCATAGCCGTTCAGCTGTAGAATTACGAGTTTACATGGTGCACCTGAATGCACCACGAATAGTATATGTTGACTGATTTACAAAGCGGTTTAGACACCCAATTGATTAAAGTGTAGTTGGCAATATGACTGCAGGGAGTTTGTGTGCAGCTTTAGCAGTCACGGTCGACGCCTGTTTGTGAGAATATCACGCAGAGAGTGCGACAGCGGGGTGCCGGGCTCCAAAAATAGAACAAACCATTTTGTGGAGGGCAAAGTTTTATTTTGTCCAGCTGCCACAAACGAATGGTTGAAACACAGATTTTTGCACCTTGAAGAAATGTATGTGCATGGATAATTTTTTTCCCTCCAGCATCGGTGCAGCGGAGCATTTTTGTATTATGAAGGGAAAAACAGCTCATGACTCGTAAGGTCCAGGTTGGTTAGTGATACAGGGCTCAAGCCAAGGGGTGTCTGCGTGTCAGGGTGCCTGTGCTCACGCCTTATACTGTGTGATCTCTACAGAAGCGTCTATAGAAACTTTAAAGCTCTCCTCTGATTACTAGATTGAAATTGAGCTTTTATGTCATAAATAGTCTGAATAAACTCATCCCACATCTTTTCCTTTGACTGCTTTTCTTTTTAGAACATCTGCTTTCCCTCTGGCTGCTCAGCTAACCACACTGTTGCACCACACTGTTTTTCTTGTTTGTTATTTAAAGTTTTTCCCACCAAGTTTTACAAGCAGCTGATATTTTAAATTAGCAGACTGCCGACTTCCTGTTTAATAACTCTGCTGCAGAGGCCACTTCTTCGTTCAAACAGCAATAACAATAACAAACATCTAGTTTAAACGTTAGCTCAGATTCCTGATTGTAGAGCCTCTTTAACACACACACATGATTTCAATTTGACTGCTTTCAGGTCAGATCGGCTCCTTGCAGGCAACCCAGATGGCCCACGAGGCGACCATCAGGAACTTGGACCAGGAGCAGAGCCGCCTCAAGGAGAAGATCAGCAGGCTGGAGGAGGAGAGGGAGGTTCTGCTCAGCCAGAGCCAGACCGCCAACGACCAGCACAAACAACAAGTGCTCAAACTGGAACAGGTACTTTTTTTTATCCTTTCTTTGTCTGTCACAAAAAGCCTTTTTACTTCCTCTAATCTGCCTCTCGTCCTCAGTCTCTGCGCGAGGAACACCAGGGCTATGAGAAGGAGCTCTCCAGGTTGAGAGCGCACTATGAGGAGGAGACACTTCGCTTCAAGGAGGCGCAGGTCAGAGCATTGGAGGAGCTCGAGGAGAAACACCAGGTGATGAGAGAGGAAGCCCAGCAAGAGAAAGAGGAGGAGAAGAAACTCCTCATCACGGTGAGTCCAGTGTGAAGGTTCGGTGTTGATGTTGAATCTGACGAATGGAAACTTTTTGGTCCAAAAAACTGTCCTAAAATCCTTCACAAGGTTTTCTTAATTATTTTCAAGGATATCAAACACTAAATATGATACAAAAAAGTAAAATATGAGGAGCAAAGTCATCATTTCAACACAGACAGTGTGACAGACAGATGGTATTGTTGCACATGTAAGATGCACACGAGCACAGTCGCAGAAACGTAGCCATGACACAGTAGGTCTCTTTGTACTTCATGATCTTAATGGGTTTTTATTAATTGCCTTTGTTTGTGGTGTCCTCATTTGGTCATAACATGTTTGGTCAAAGTCTTCACATATTTTTAAAAGCTGAAAACGACATTTCCAACATCCTGATTTTCTCTGCCTCTGGATATAACAAATTAGGTTCGAGGAACATTTCACCATCAAATTCTGAGTTCGCTGCTACTAATAAATTTAAACACTTTGGTAATAATAATGTTGAGAAGAGCCTCTGCAAATGTTAAATGAAAGACATTAATTCTCTGTAGCTCTGAGCTGAACATTACCCGCACCATCATTTTGAAAAGTCGTAAGAGTTGAGGAGGGTATGTGGATGTTTGAGGCGGGAGTACCTCAGCGATCCTCGGGGCATAGAAAAAATACAGAGTAACACAGAACCTTAAACCATCTGTCACAGAAGTGGACGACTTTTCTCATCCACAACCCGCTGAGTCAGACATCGCTGTGGTGGAGGACCGTGATTGGTCCTGAGCTGTGTCATCAGTTAGCTAAGCCTATAAACTGTAACCCATTGGTTAGCAGCGTCCCGTTGAGACGCCTCGAGCCGTTTCGTCTTGGTGTTTTGAAACCGTTAGTGGAGGTCGGATCCATCACACCCCGATGGTGGGCATACCCAGCTTTATGGTCCTTTCCTCTCCAATGAAGACGGTTAATTACAAAATAAAAATCTTAAATTGAACTCTGCCACACTTTAAACTAGTGACTGAGACTATAAAGTCACCAGGAAGGGTTTGGTTTTTTTTTTCTGCAGCCTTCTTGTTACTATCAGAAGTCTTCACCTGGATGAGATGCAAGAAGGAACAGTGGTTTAAGGCACTTCACATTAGCTTTACAATTCAGAAGTTATGTCCATCATTTATAGAGTGAATGCTCCAGCTCCAGTAACGGCGGAAGCCATGGCTCACTCATTCTTGTCTCCCTCTCGCTATTGAGGGAGTATCCTGCCATCTGCAGTCTGATAAGTCAGAGCTACACGAGGGTCTGGAGAGTGTCATGCGGCGGTGCGTCTATTCCCCTTCAAATCACTGAATAAAATGGCTTTTCAACCAAATTGAAAAGCCTTAAGTAGAGGGTTTTTTTAAAGAAAATTAACACTCGTATGAATGAAGATTATGCTTCATAGACTCCAAGTAAAGGGCACAGGCTGGAGGCGGTGGGTTGGCCATTTCTGATTAGATGGTATTAAAATCTAATGCCATCTAATCATTTCTCTGTCTTTGTGTATTTTTAATCAGTTTTGATCAGACTGACTCTGTTACGTCTTTACTCTGCTGGCTGCATTTCTTTGTGTTGGCACATGACTGAGAATTTACATTTACATACTGCTGTCTTTGGCCAAACCCACTGTCAGTGTCACTGCAAGGAAATCACAAACTCAGCAAGTGTTGGTCACTTGGATTATTTTAAGATATTCAAACTAAAGGAAGATTGTTTGTTTTGACTTTTTGCTGTGTAACCATCTTGATCATCATTCTTTATAAAACGATAAAGCATGAAAGAAGCCATAAAGATGTTTTCGGGGGGGATAAAAACAGTAATTGGAACACAAACAGCCGAAGGTTTCTCTCAGGGTTTATGTCTCTCACTTTTTTCACAGAAGCATTTGCAATTAATTTCCCTCAGAGCAAATGGCTTTAGTCATTAAAAAAATATGTATCTCTAAAAGAAATGCGCAGCCCCCCCTCATCATTTAATTAGGTCAACATTAAGACTAAAGACATGAAGCGCTGCATCTCTCTGTGCCTGTGTTTTCTCCTCTGCGTCTTTCAGTCTGTCGCCCGCTCTCTTTCTTTCTTCTTCAGCTTTTCTTTTTTTTCACTCCTGATTTGCTCTCCTCTCTTTGACTTCAAAGGGGAGGGGTTACGTGAGGAGAATACGAGCGGCCTTATTGCCAAAGAAGCAACGACAACTGATGAGATTACCCAGGTTAAATTAATTTAACCTGATCCATTTAATATAACAGCAACAACAAGACTGCTGGGCAGACTCATCTCTTTCTCACTTGTCTCACTTATTCTGGATAGCTAAATAAGCAAAAACAGGCCTTTATACAATACAATACAATACAGTTTTATTTATATAGCACATTTAAAAACCCAAAGGCACACCAAAGTGCTTCACAGTAATATGGAGAGTCAACATAAGTCAATAACAGGGTACAAATCGGGCACTAGCACAGACAGGATAGAGGCACTAACAGACCAGAGAGTTAGATAAATACAAAATCCGCTAAGAAGACAAAAACAGCAGTAAAATTAATAATAAAATAATAAATTTAATAAAATTTAATAAAAGATATTAAAAGTTTAAAATTTAAAAGTTTATAAAAGGGTATTAACTGGTCAGGAAAGCCAAGTCAAATAGATATGCTTTCAATCTTGATTTAAAGGATTGGATAGAGTCCAAGGCTCGAATAGAAGCAGGGAGGCTATTCCAAAGGTTGGGTGCAGCTGAAGCAAAGGCACGATCGCCTCTGGTCTTCAGTCTAAACTTAGGTTGGGCCAGGAGTAATTGACCTGATGATCTTAATGCACGACAAGGAGTGTACAGATTGAGGAGGTCAGTGAGGTAGCTGGGCGCAATGTTATTCAGGATTTTAAAAGTGAGTAGCAAGATTTTAAACTCAATGCGATATTTGATTGGTAACCAGTGTAGATCAACAAGAGCCGGAGTAATAGGGTCAAATTTTCTAGTCCAGTAAGAAGGCGAGCCGCAGCATTCTGAACGAGTTGCAGCCTTCGAAGAGAGAAGGCTTGGAGACCACAGTAGAGAGAATTACAATAATCTAACCTGGAGGTCACAAAAGCGTGGATAAGTTTTTCCAGGTCCCTGTGTGGTATATAATGCTTAGCTTTAGAAATCTGGCGCAGTTGAAAAAAAAACAGATTTAACTACAGATGACTACTTGCTTATCGAGCTTAAAGGAGCTATCCAAATAGACACCCAGGTTACGCATAGAATCAGAGAGAGAGTTAGCTAGGGGCCCCAGCAGGGCAACAAGCTGGTCTCGAAGGAATATGGCTGTCGAACACCATAACTTCAGTTTTTTTCTCATTTAAAATCGAGAGAATTATCTGACAGCCAATCTTTAACCTCTCTCAGGCAATCGTACAGGGAGTTCAGTGATGCTGACAAATCATCAGTCAGTTGACAATAGATTTGAATGTCATCAGCGTAAAAGTGATAAGAAATATTGTATTTTTCAAATATGGAGCCCAAGGGTAGCATATACAAAGAGAATAATAAAGGGCCCAATACAGACCCCTGGGGCACACCACAACAGAGAGGGGCAACAGAGGAAGAGTATCCTCCCATCACAACAGAGAAGGATCTATCTGTGAGGTAAGAATTAAACCAGTTAAGGGCAGAACCCTTGATGCCTACAACATGCTCTAGCCTCCTCAAGAGTATATTATGATCAACCATGTCAAAGGCTGAAGACAGATCCAATAAAACTAAAACGGCAGGGCGACCAGAGTCAGCAAATACAAGAAGATCATTATAGACTCTTAGCAGGGCCGTTTCAGTGCTATGGTGTGGCTTAAAGCCAGACTGGTATTTGTCAGTGATATTATTTGCAACTAAGTAAGCCTGTATTTGGAGAAAGACGGCTTTCTCTAAAATTTTTGATAAAAACAGAAGCTTCGAGATTGGCCTATAATTGGCAGGGTCTTTCTGATCAAAATTACTTTTTTTAAGAACGGGGTGCACTACCGCATGTTTAAAGGCAGTCGGGACACAGCCCACTAACAATGATAAATTCATTAAGAATAAGATGCAAGGCCCAATTTCCTCAAAACCTTCCTTGATAATTCGGGATGGAAGGATATCATGCACAGAATTTGAGTTTCTCATTGTTCAATTATTCCCTTAAGAGTGGGGAGTGATAACAGCTCAAAGTGAGAAAAGGTGGACATGCATCCTAAAACCGGAACAGGATTCAGCACAAGAGAGTGAGAGTGTGAAGCCTTCAGTAATAAAACTTTTCCACTAAAATGATTAAGAAATTGCTCACAGAGAGCCTGAGAGGCCGAGCTCGAAGAGTCCGGACAGGGATTTATCATGAATTAAAAATTTTGAATAACATTCGGGGGTTGTGGCTATTAGTCTCAATAATGTCTGATAGGAAAGCTGCTTTAGCTTTGGCAAAATCATCTACCAAGGGAGGTGTGTAACAGTTAGTATCAGTGAAATCTGGATCAAAAAAAGGCAAAGTTCAAAAAGGCCGATAATGAAGTTAGCCACAGTCTCAGAGTTAATGATACGTACAGGGCGATGACAGCCTTTAGAATTTAAATCAATTGCACATAGCTCAACATCAAACATGAGCAAAAAATGGTCAGAAATACCAGCATTATCAACGTCCATAGTACAAATATCCAAAGCATATGAGAGGACCAAATCCAAGGTATGACCTTTAAGATGAGTTGGTTCCCTGACCCACTGTGTAAGGTTAAAAGAGTCAATTAGGGCAAGAAAATCCTTGGCTAGGGGGTCATCAGCACAACAAATATGTATGTTAAAATCTCCAGTGATAAGAGCTTGGTCATAACTTAATAAAAATGAACCTAAGAAGTCAGCAAATTCACAAATAAAAGACCTATTATATTTAGGTGGTCGATAAATCACAGCACATAGAATCGTTGGGGGTCCGGCAAGCTCCAATAGTTGAACCTCAAAACTAGAATAGGTAGGAG